AAATCATTAGTTTCCACAGGTTGGTATAAGCATAGAAGGTCCAGAAAAAACGTGCTCAACTTTTTGGCTTAACTCTGGTACTCTCTTCGGTCCCAAGCTAATCGATGCACCCCTCGAAACATAGGAAAATCGACGAACCCCTCATGTTATCTGTCAAACTTACATAGCGAATCAAAACAACTATAGTGTAGTACTAGAATCTCGACTAGAATTGGGTACGTTAATCAATTTGCTTGGGACCAATAGGCTTGTCAAGTAGTGAGCCAATTTTAAATCGTTAGTTTCCACCGGTTGGTATAAGTCCCATACTGAGTTGACTAATTTTGTTCATAAACTAGTGGCTAATGTAGATAGGTCGGATCGTAAGGCAGTGTCAGCATAGAGGTAACTCTAAGACCACTGGGTCCCGAAGAAAATCATTATTATTTTTGGCTCACTCAGTACCAGAACAACGGTCCCAAGCAGTCCCAAGCTATTTCACTCACCCCTGCATGTTCTGCATGAATCCACACACCCCTGATGTTATCTGTCAAACTTTCATAGCGAATCAAAACAAACATAGTGTAGTAATAGAATTTCAACTAGAATAGGGTACGTTAATCGTTTGCTTGGGACCAATAGGCTACTAAAGTGGTGAGCCAATTTAAAATCGTTAGTTTCGTATTGATTGTTGGTGTCAGTGCTTCCAAACGTAGATAATGAAAATAACATGAAATTAGTTGATAAAACTTTTGCTCATATCGGAGTATCCTTGCCATCAAATTCGATTCTGTCAGCGAAAAGATTGTATGTTAGCAACAAACGGGATGGTCCCCATTCAAATTGTGTTTAAAGACAGGAATAGCAAGGAAATGGTTCTCTCTCGTAAAAAAGAGGTAGGAATGAATCCTTCAACCAACTTCGATCAGTCTTTTTTAGCTAATGGAACTGCTACGGAAAATGCGTGAATACCAAGATCCGCTCAAAATTAGAGGAGGTGGCATCCCGAGCAAAGTCCAGCATCAAAATGACAGCAAATTGAAATCAAGTTTTGATATCAATATCAAATTGAAATCATAATTTGATTTCAGTTTACACATTGACAAATTTGATACCAAATTTTGTTTTCATTTTGCTGTACATTTGCTCTTTAAAAACATGTTGTTACGGGTTTGTTTTCATTTCCTTAGCATAACATCAAATTGAATACTTGTTTTGTTATCAACAGGAAAAATGGATAGCAAATGTGGTTTTCAGTTTGTTCTCACTGATAGGAGAAATAGTTTTCAATGTGATGTCACAGGAAGATATGTTTGCTCTCAATTTTGATATTTTAACCGTTAAAACGACCAAAACGACAACAACCTGAGTAATCATTATCAGCGAAATCACAACATCAAATTTAGATTTCAATTTGATCTCAGACTTCGCTCGGGATACTTGTAAAAAAGAAGAAAATGCTAAACCAGAACTGATTAAAACTAGAGAGGATCTTAATATTTTGATTAACCGGTATTCTGTATCAGCCAACGCCGAAACGGAAAAGGAATGATTAGAATGAAGTTTGTTATAAGGTTTTTGTGTTTAATAAATGTAAAAATGGATCAAACTTCAAATTATTTTCGTAAATACCTTGATGATTTCAATACGTCCTGTGAAAGGGTATGTCCGAAATAATTGCGAGTTTTACAGTGGAATGTTCGGGGTATCAATGACTTGCATAAATGTCATGACATGCTCATTTCAATTGATCACTTCTTGGTCCCGATTGATTTAGTTACCGGATTAAAACCGGAGATACTGAGCTTTATAAGATAAAAGGTTATAACAGTATATTTTCAAGTAGATAGCTCATTTGGTGGCTTAGTAGTGTATATTAGAAATACCACTGAATATAAAATGGTTGAAAATGTCTGTAGTGAGGGCTTCCATCACATTATTGTCGAATTATTGTTGCCTGAAGGCGTCGTCAATGTCCATGGTGTATACCGGTCACCGTCATATGATTTTAACGTGTTTTATGATCGTTTGGAAAGTTGGCTTAATAAAAGTAGTACAAATTGCCCTTGTTTAATTGTCAGATATATGAATGTACCTGTAAATTTGTTGAATAATAATGTTGTTTTGAAATATAAATACCTTTTACAGTCATATAGGTTATGTGTTATTCTAATATATTTGTTATAAGTCGGTTTTCGGTAAAGTAACCGGTGTGTATCAAGTTACGCCCGTTATTCATCCCCGTATGAAAACATGTATTCAAACAGATTTCTGTATAAATTATTAAAAGATTCTTAAAATCTAGTTCTAAATTTCTAGTTGTAGTTTTAAATATTAAGTATTTTGTACCAAAGTAGACCACTGCAGTTTTCCATCATTCAGGCCAGTAAAAATCAAACTTGACCATTTTGCATGTACATAATATAGCGCAGCATTCTACAATAGAATATTACCCCGTACAGACTATGGCTTATATCATGTAATATAGGCTGTCTTGCAATGAGCACTCATACATAGGATTTCCGGTGAAAACTAGATGCATGAGTGCTCATTGCAAGACAGCCTATATTACATGATATAAGCCATAGTCTGTACTAGAAATACTCAGAGGGAGAGATGGGCGGAGAGAATGTTTTGAGCCAAATGAACCGTCAAAATCTGAGCCAATCGAGCATTCCAATTAGAATTTTTCCGAGGATTTCTTATTATTACTAGAATAAATTTGAGAGTATTGCAATCGAACAGAAATTCAATCACCTTTATGTTTTGTGTGCTTCTCAAATTCAACTAGTTTTTGGAACCAAAAACAATATTCTAACTCTATTGATTAATTGATCTTCGTTGGTTAATGAATGGCACCAAGAAATGTGCAAAATATTGCGATGCAATCAATTATTATTTTGCACGTAAATCGAATCAAAAATTAAAGTCATTTGAAATGCTAGCTTCTAGCAAGGGTTGCAAGATTATTTAGGAACAAATCCCTGCTACCAAATTGAATTTTATTTTCTCCGCCTATCTCTCCCTCTGAGTATTTCTAGTCTGTACGGGGTATTAAGAAACTTTAGAAAATATCAAGCTTTATTTTTTTCTGGTCTGAGCTAAAACAACCTGGTTGAAAGAGTTTCGAAAAATTAGAAAATTTAATCTGACTGTGTCGCATACAGTGTACCGTAAAATTGAGCGTACACCCTAATGGATTTTTTAAAGCATTGTAAATAGATATTTTTTTAAATCTTGGCTGGTGGTTAAAATGATATTTATTGATTTTTCGTCATAGTTTTGGACTTTATTGGAAGAACCTGTATGAAGTTAGACAAGGTTGCAAAGACTCATTTCAGCTAAAATTATGTTTTTCGGAATAATAAAACCAAAAGATGGTATGATGGCATGTTTTACTTGTAACTTACAAGAAGAGGTTACAAAGTATGCGTTGGAAACATAAAACCTGTAAATTTTGCTTTCTATGAGTCACAATCAGCGATTTGCTGATCGCTGAGTGAGTGAGTGAGTGAGTGAGTGAGTTTGTGAAAAATCGCTGATTGTGACTCTCATGAAGTGAAATAAACAGGTTTAATATGTCAAACACATTCTTTGCAACCTCTTCTTGTATCCTACCAATTCAAAATTTGATCATGGCATCTAATTATTTCATAATTTAGAAAAACATTGTTTTAGCTGAAATGAGTCTTTGCAACCTTGAAGTTAGATTTATTTTAGTAAAACGCTCGATTTTCAACTTTTACCTAGTGGACGAATTTAAGAAAAATTAGTGGAACATTAATGATCTTTAATATGACTAAAAATGAGCAAAATTTCAAAAAGTTTAGTTCATTGCAGTTCACGATATTAAGGTATTTAAAAAAGCGTTTTTCTCAAATAGCTCTTTAATTATTGATATAGTATTGGGCTTAGTTGGTCGCGTTTATTAAAAGTAATACTTTTAATAAACGCGACCAAATAAGCCCAATACTATACCAATAATTGATAAATGTATGATAATTCAGCAGCCAAACATTCAGAAACGTATCTCTTTAAATTGTTTTTTTTTCTAAAATTTAATGACATCTGTACGCTCAATGTTGAGATACACTGTAAATCACGAATTGCACATCAATTGCAAATATAAAAGAATGTATATGATATAGCTTATATAACATGACAGTTTATGGTATGTCTGATATGTATGAAGGATGCCGGAAGAGCGACACGGGAAGATAATATTCAACAGGGAACCCGGATGACGTCATCGACTGCGGGGCAGAATTCGCACACGTTGCCTTTTTTAAGTGGGACATTAGGTCGCTTAACATCCATGGTGGCTGGAAACGATTGGTCTTGGAACCAGTCCAGTAAAAAAGAATTTTTCATTCGGTGTAAATTCAACGAATTGTAGCCTATCAAGTATCAAGTAACTGTAATTGAATTAATGTTTCCCAACATTTGTGTGCTTGCTACTTGTTTAAAAATATTAGTAGTATATGCCGCGGATACACTTGTATGACAAACTATGAGCATGATCATTATTTGTATAATAATTATGAGCACTATAATACAAGAACTATACAAAAAATATGCAAGTGTGACCATGAGCATGAGTTTTATTATACAAATAAGGCTCATACTCATAGTTTGCCATATCAGTGTATCCGCTGCATATGGGAAAGTTAAAAAAATCGCATGACTCGCAACTAGCGATATTTTCTCTTTGTAAAAATTTATATAAAAATACCGCGAACTTTTCCAACGCTGGTAGTAGCTCTATAGTATCAACAACGCTTTACACTTCACCACAACCATACCCAAATACCTAATCAGCACAAATATACCTAATATTATATAATACTTATAATAAAAATCCACTCCCAATCCCAACTAATCGGTGTGATACGATTTCATATGGTTGAAATGGGAATTACAACTATATTTATACTGACGACGGTGCATTGAAGCGTAAAGCAAAACTGGCCATACATCTGGGACCGAACGAATAAAATAATAATACTTAACACAATGCCCACCTTGCCTGCTGGATGCAGATGAATGAATATCAGAGGAGCGGCTCACGTTGGTTCCCATCACAATCGATAGAGCCACCGGTATTGGATTCCCAGTGGAACGTTTTAAGTTTGTCGGTACAGCAGCGGGCGATGCAAGCCCTTTGATCCAAGGTGTCCTTGAAGTAATCTGAGTGAACTTTCGTGAGAAACCTGCGGAAAATCGCCAAAAAGCACCACCACCACCACTCGATTGAACCACCTTCAACGGGAGCATTTTTGACGATTGAATGCAACTAATGCTTTGCTCGATTATGCGATTTATTGTCAAATATTGCAAAATTTTATTGAGCAAAAAACCCAAACAACGGTTCACCGACGAAAATACTCGAATATTTCACAAAATGTCATCGTACACTTGAAAAGTTCATTTTGACTTACCTGTCCTGCACTGAGTTGATAAACTTATTAGCAAGAATTGAAATATGTTCCACTCCTTTCACACAAACACTTACTTCACCTTTTAGGTTTGGTGTGTTTTATTTGTAAAATTGCCGGCCGGCAGATTATTTCAAAAGACAAAATAATTATTGAAAAATCGGATTTTAATGATCGCAAAATCGAAAATTAATGTTTCCGACACGCATGACGTTTCGCTGTTTGTTGACAAACTCGTACACGGTAAGAAAAAAGTACCCAACGGAAAGTTCACTTTTACCTACTTTTGACTAGTTTGTCTCCTTTTCTCCTTCTAATGTTGTCAAAAACGGAGGAGCAAAACCACCCAACAGGGGTAGTAAAGTGTGGGAACCCAACGTTGAGTATAATCATATTTACCTACTTTTGGGTACAACTAACTTAAAAAGCCAGTGGAAAATTCCATACGAATTGCACACAAGTAAATGAAATTTACTTTGATCCGCTTTACCTACTTTTGGGTTCCTGCACTATAGTGCCGAGATGAGTGAAAAGAACTTAATTTTGGGTACTTTTTCTAACCGTGTACACAGAAAAACAAAACTACCCACCGCTTGGGTTTTTTAAACTCAAATTTGAGTTATTTGACCTCTGCCCGTTTCATTTCCTCTCGCTATTGTTGTCAAAAATAGAACGAAAGATTCGACTCAACCGTCTAGTTCCGTACGAGAAGCTAAAATTGAGTAATATACGATATACCCAAATTTGAGTTAATTGAACTTAATTTTGGGTAGAAAAAATTGAAAATAACTTAGCGATGGGTAATTTTTTTTGCCGTGCTTAAATGCAAACTACTTTGAGCCGGTTTACCCAAATTTGGCTTATCGTACGGAACATGGGAGATGAGTGAAAAGAACTTAATTTTGGGTTGTTTTGAATTTCTGTGTAGAAGCACGAGGGGTACTTCAATGGGTAACGGGATTAGAAATTTTGATCTCATGAAATATTTCATTTTTCATAACACGACAAAACTAAAGCCCTCTAGTTAAAGTATGGACGACTGGCACCACAAAACTGAAAAAAAGCTGTTCCAATCGAGCAAAGCGGTGCATTTTGACGGTTCGATTGGAACTAGAAATACTCAGAGGGAGAGATACCCGAAAAAAAATAACAACAAAAATACATTAAAAAACAATGTAACAATAAGACGAAAATTATTGTCTTAACAATGATTTATATTGTTACGTCTACAATAAATTTACCTTGATTTATGTTGTACAAAACAATAAATTTCATGGTAAATGGAAAATTTACAATAAAAAAGGGGGGTTGTTAAGTATCTTAACAATGAAATTTTCGTGATATTCCCATATAATTTTTTTTCAATAACATTATATATTATTGTTATTTTACTGTTGGTTGGCGAATTTATTGATTAAAAAAAATAACAGTGTACTTTAGAGTGTATGTGTTGGCTTGACAGATCTACTTTATCGACTTTAAAAATAAACCGAAAAAATAAAACATTGCCCCGGGAAGGGAAGGGGGTGGTTCGTCTGTTACGGGTGGTCCTTTTTTTTACTGGTTATGGATCGAGATTCGATCCGGAACTTGTAAGAAATGCAGGCCAACTCCCCTGCGCTCGATATCCCTAGGTCACGTCTCCTTGGTGGTTGAGCGTCGTTGATAAGTTAATGCATTCGACTGGAGAGAATCGCCCATGAAATATGCCTCCACCTGAGAGTTCCTTCCTGACATCTTCAAGTGGTGGAATTTTTTATTATTATTGTATGATTATTGACTGCACGGAAAAAGGTCTCCATTAAGCTTTAGAGAGGGTCTAGGATAAGATATGAGCGGACGCGGACTGCCTGGTTTTGAGCCAAACGAACTATCAAAGCCAGAGCCATACGAGCAGCGCCTATCTTAATTACATTGGCAGTGTTGCTGACCCTCTCATAGTCTGCATGCTTCAATCAGATTTATTTTTATTGTTCGTGAAGTAACCCACAATGAAAATACACCAATATTTAATGTAACAACAATTTTTATTGTAATAGAGTTGTTCATTATTGTTCATGATCGAATCATGTTAACAATAAAATAAATGAAAAATACGATAAAAATCATTGTAACAACATTTTATTATGTACATTCATTGTACAGCTAGGTAGCAGTTTTGCCGTTTTCGGAAGAGTACAACATTATAACAATCATTTTTATTGTCGACAATAAATATTAATGTTAGAGCATTGTTTCCACTGAAAATTTCACTGTAATTTTTTTTTCGGGTAGGCGGAGAGAATGTTTTGAGCCAAATGAACTGTTAAAATCAGAGCCAATCGAACATTCCCATCAGAATTTTTCCGAGGATTTCTTATTCTTACTAGATAAAATTTGAGAGTATTGCAATCGAACAGAAATTCAATCGCCTCTATGTTTTGTGTGCGTCTCTAATTCAGCTAGTTTTTGGAATCAAATACAATATTCTAACTCTATTATTTAATTGATCTTAGTTGGTTAACTAATAGCACCAAGAAATGTTCAAAATATTGCGATGCACTCAATTATTATTTTGTACGAAAATCGAATCAAAAGTAAAAGCCATGTGAACTGCTAGCTTCTAGCAAGGGTTGCAAGATAATTTAGCTACAAATCCCTGCTGCCGAATTGTATTATGTCAGGCATAACATTTGATAACGGCACAAAAGCATTTGTAAACAAACTTTTTAAGGCCCTTTACACGCGAACCAAAGCACGCCCACGCAAACCAATACCACTTTCGAAAAGGTGATAGTTGCCCCTATCCGATTATGTTGTTGGTTTGCGTGGGCGTACTTTGGTTCACGTGAAAAGGGCCTTAGAAAGTTTGTTTACAAATGTTTTTATGCCGTTATCAAATGTTATGCCTGATGTTTTCTCCGCCCATCTCTCCCTCTGAGTATTTCTAATTGATCATTTTGTCAAGCTTCTGCATTCATGTTCCATCAGATGTCACAGCTGTTGTTTGCGGTGACATCTATCGGAAACTAGACACAATCTGTTTTCCTATAATTGTTCACAGAGGACACTGCAGTGCAAAACATGTCTTATACCTCTATATATGCATTTAGATTAACATCCAAAATCCCTCCCTTTTTACACATTCTGCACACAAAATAGCTCACCCCTCACAGGATTTCCCGCCGAATTTTATGTATGGGGCGGGGCATAAAGTATCTTTTGTGCAGAATATGTAAAAAAGGAGGGTCTTCAAATGTTAAAGCAAATGCATATATAGAGGTGCCAGACATGTTTTGTAGTGTCAGGTACTCTATTTTGTAATCTGTGAAAGGGAAATCACAAATCGAGTGTCAACAAAATACATGGCATGTTGAGAGATTGAGGTCGTGAGAGCAAATTTTCTCTCTCTAATTTGAATTTTTTGGCTCTCTGGGGACTGGTAGTAAAGCAGGTAAAACTGTATGGGGAAAAATCATTTTTATTTAATTGTAGCTTGTTTAGCATTAATTTCCGGGAAAAAACTGAACGACAAAGCCCCTGACTAATTTCTTTAGGTTGTCGTTCACTTTTTTTGACCTGAATATGCACCGGAAGCGAATTATTCGCACTTCTCTCAATTTCTATATGGGGATTTTTATCACTTCCTACCAGCGGAACAGCGCCATCTCTGTGGAAAATGGTCGAACAAAATGATTAATTGGAAAAACTTTTGACAGACGTCCATACTTTTACTGTAGGGCTTTAGAAGGCTGCTAATCAGCGACCCAACATGGAGAAAAAAATACTACCCAAAATTTAAATTATTTTTACTTAATATTGAATTCAGCCTCTCACTTGCGCTCTTTATTGTTGTCAAGAATGGAACGAGAGATTGAACCCAACGATAAACACAGCAAAAAAAAGTTGTTGAATATTACATCGAAACTGCTGCAACCAGGTCAATCCATCGGTTGTGTAATATCACATTGTACGATGTACATCGATTTTGCGAACAAAACTATATTCATTGATGTAATATTATATCTGCGTTTTGCTATTACATCATTATTTCATACATCAGCTTTAATTACGTTGATCGATATTACATTTTTTTTTTGCTGTGTTCAGCCCAATAAGTTACTTTTGAGTAAATTGTAAATTCTCAAATTTATGTGAATTAAACTTAATTTTGGGTAGAATATACTTAAATTTGGGTTATTGGGCTGAACCCGGAAATTGAGGGAAAAGTACTTTATTTTGGGTAGTTTTTCATCTCCGTGTACAAAACAAGCAAAGTAAATAAATTATTGTTCCCACAGCTTACTGAATTACAAGTATTGCATTAATTACTGACAATATTTAAGTAATTTTAGATGAAAAACATTTCTTCGCTTTATTTAGTACATTGCGTTGTTTATAAGTTATACCAAGCACTCTTTTGAACATTTTTCAGGTTCTATAATTGTTTTTGTCTCCCACACTAATAAAATTCCACACATTTTTAGTGACTTATTTCCATGTGAAATTCCACATGATTTTCATGTGACCACACATAAATAGAATCCACCCAGAAGCACTCATGAAATTTATGAGTCAAATGAATAGTATATGTGGTTACACATGGCTTTTATGTGTACACATATTAATTAGGTGTCCGACAAATAGATATCATTGATCACATTGCAAAAAATCATGTGTGGGACACATAAATGCCGGCGCCGGTAATGTAGTGGTAAGCGTGACTGCTTTCTAACACCCCGATGGGTCTGGATTCAATCCCAGCCGAGGTCGGTGGGATTTTTCTGAGGCATAACAATCTCTGGTCACGTCTTCCGGAAGGGAAATAAAGCCGGCCTTGCATGGTTTTGTATTATCGATCAACTGTATGTGGATTATATCGCGAATATGTTGCCTGTAAATTAATGATAACCTCGCGATATATTCCACGTAAAGTTGAACGATAATACAAAAGCATGCATGGACCTTACTGACTACCATAACCATTACTATTAAAATTCAAATCAATTCAAATCAAATCAACAAATCAACTGGTAGTAGGTTCAATATCATTATATTGATCCTACCACCAATAAATATGTTCCGAAGTCCAAGCTGTTGCACGGGATGCTCACTATGCCCCTACTTTAAAGATTTATTCGGTATCAATAGATTTAAAATCTATTAATAAATTGCTAAGCAATGATTTTTCAAACATTGTCAATTTGCCATTACACATGTTACCGGAACCATCTTGTTCGGAGTGTTAACACGATGGATTGACTGTTTCGTGATTTTTAAATGACTGTTATATATATGAAAGCGAAATCAGGATCGATGCAACTTTTAAAACGTGCACGACGCAATATTCATCAAGATGCCCTACCTGCAGTAAGGATACAGATGAAGACAACAACTTTGAAGCTTGTTCTTGTTGTATAGTTCTTTCACATGTATACATTAGTTTACACACATCATTAGCATGCAAAGAAGTAACCGTCTGGGTCTGTGGTCTGGGCCAACATTATTTGCACATTGGTTATGTGAACCAAGACGATGATTAAGACCAGTAATAAGAACTAAGAAACTTTATTTGTCTCTCAATAGGTTATTCTTTTGCAATTTTATTATAATGATAAATTACCGCTCAAAATTACATTAAAGCACTAGAAAGTCATTTCTCTCCGTAAAATTGAACATAAGTAGCAGATAAAAGCAAACGGGATGGAACACGTCGACTTACGAATGGCAATCAAAATTAAAAAAAATAACGTCCATAACTCCTCTCTACTGTGGCGGTCCAACGGTTCCAACGTGTAATTTGATCCAGGGGTGTCCTGCCACGTGTTCCAACGGCATACGGTGTTCCGGTTGTCTTACCAGGAGCCGGGAAATCAAATGGGCAGCAGGACGGGACATCTCCGGGGGAACTTCGTAGCGCACTTTCATTATTTTGTTGTACGTCTCGTCATAACCGGTGGCATGGAAAGGTGCTCGACCGACAAGCAGCTCGTACGCCAACACTCCAAGACTCCATAGGTCAACGTTCTTGGAGTGTGGATGACCTTGAACCATCTCCGGGGAAAGGTAGTCCAACGTTCCGCATAGAGTAGTTCGGGTGGAAGTTGGTTCGTGTACGGACCATCCAAAGTCTGCTATCTTTAGTTCTCCTTCGTGTCCTAACAGTAGATTCTCCGGTTTAATGTCCCGATGGATTACATTTCGTTCGTGAAGATAAATCAGGGCCGAAACGAGCATATTAACGTAGATTGCACACTGCTGTTCGGGAAATTTATTTCCTGGCTGAGTCTGCAACTTGCTGAACAGTGTACCACCGGGGGCGAACTCCAGGATTAGATAGATTCTAGTTTCATCATGAAAGTAACCGTACATCCGAAGAATATTCGGGTGTCGTAGGTGTGACTGGATCTCAATTTCACGACGCACCTGAAAAAGTAGAACGATTGTAATTTTTATCTTAATGCTATATTCAGACTGGGAGTTATATTATATTATAAGGCTTGATAACATTTTCCTTGTCGATAATTATTATAACATGTTATAACTCTGTAACTCTGAACATAGTATAAAACATCACACAAACCGGAAACCTCACCTGATGTTCAATACCTTGCGCGTGAACCTGTTTCTTAAAGAGCACCTTGAGTGCGATCACATATTTGGTTTCCTTCTCTCTGGCCAGATAGACATTGCCAAATTTTCCCCGACCAAGCGGTCGACCTATATCGAAATTGCTCAGAGTCCAACTCTTTTTCTCCTTGGGAGGTGCATTGCTGCCGGTGTTTGTAGTGGATCCTGTTTCGGATTGTGGTTGTTGCTGCTGATATGACTGTACGTTTGTTGCCGAGGAACCGTGTTGAGAGGCAGCCGCTTTCTGTGTATCAGCTTTCGGCTTACCTGAAGGAAGTTGTGGAACCTTGAAGTGTGGTCCTTCTTTCGCCTGGGTAACAATAATATGTGGTCGTGAGAAAGTTTTAGGCTCTTCCTGCAACGGTTTATGGTAATTTTATTATGTTTGCATAGAACTATTAATATAGATTGAAAATTCACAACCTTTCTACCGGGTGCCGCTGGGAGAGTAGGTAGTTTGAATATACTTTGAGGCTTTGACTCAACTACCGCTCCACCTGTCATCGGTTTCAATGCCCGACCGGGTGCACTGCCGGCTGATCCTCCTATCGGTGCTGCACCGGAGCCAGTCTGTGATTTTCCGTTGACTTGGGATTGTATGAACTGTTTTCGATTTTCTTTATTTAGATGCGACATTATTCTAACTGATCACGGACGCAAACTTTAAGGCACTATACGGAAATACTATAAAATATCTTGAATCGTGATTCGTACAGTCTCACAAAATTATTATTGAATAAAATACCCAACAGTCATTCCTCGCTGCTCTTCAAAAGCTGCCCGGAGGTGCAACGAACCTTTTTCTGTCTCTTGTTCTTCGCGCTCCTGTTTTTAAACGGTTTGACAGATTTGTGTGCTCGTCGTTCGTGATGAATTTTCGCAGAATCGAAAGTGATCTAAATTCATTCCTGCGAACGTGCTCCACCAATCACTAGTGGAATACACGTAAAACTGAAG